CTATCTATCTATCTATCTATCTATCTATCTATCTATCTAATCTATCATCTTTATAGCTTTTTTTTTTGTTTTGTTTTTTTTGAGACAGGGTCTTCCTGTAGCCCCAGCTGTCCTGGAACTCACAATGTAGACCAAGCTGGCCTTGAACTCACAGAGATCCGCCTGCCTCTGCCTCCTGAGTACTGGGATTAAAGGAGTATACCATTAGGCCTGGCTAAGTGTATTTATTTATTATTTTGTTTTTTTTGAGACAGAGTCTCATTATATAGCCCTGGCTGGCCTGGAACTCACTATGTAGACCAGGCTGGCCTTGAACTCACAGAGATCCATGTGCCTCTGCCTCCTGAGTGCTGAGATTAAGATATGCACCATCACATCCAGCCATAAGCATATATATTTTAATATTTTATTATTTTAATTTTATGTGTATGAGTGTATTTCCTGAATGTATGTAAGTGCATCCATGATGTGCAGTGTCCTGGGAGGACAGAAGAGGCCATCAGATCTCCTGGAACTGGAGTTAAGGAGAATTATTAGCTGCTATGTGGGTTCTAAGATTCAGCCTGGGTCTTGTGCAAGAACAGCCAGTGTTCTTAACTGCTGAGCCATCTCTCAAGCCCCAATAAGCATATATTTTCAAAGTAACAAAATTGCTAATGAAAAACCAGTGACTGTAAATACTGAGAGGAACAATGCAGTGAAGTAAATATGGTACTTCTCTTTTCATAGTAGGTGGATAATAACTTTAGTAGTTAACCCTTACTTGGCATGAGCAAAATGTCTGGGCAAATCATTTATAGTTTAGGAGATACTAAGTAGGAGAGTCAGGAATGGAGAGAATTTGTTGAAACTAGTGGTGTGTGTGGGGAATATTGCTTTACATAACAAGCTAATATGGCTGAGTTATTTTCGGTCTGCTAATCTGGTGCAGATTGAAGAGAAAAGTGCTCTGGTTGTCATGAGGGAAAGAGTGACAGTGTCTGGTTTGTTCAGTGTCAGGAGGAGAAAGCGAGATTGTATGGTAGACAACTTGCTTAATCTTGTGCATGGGTGGTGGTATCTACCCCATAAATAAAAACCAAAGGTTAAAAAACATTTTTTTTAGTACATGTATATGTGTGTGTGTGAGTTTTAACTTTCCAGTGGGAGTGTGTGTGTGTGTGTGTGTGTGTGTGTGTGTGTGTGTGTGTGGAGTGGGAATGTGGTATATGTGTGAGTGTGTATGTGTGGAAATGTATCTGTGTGTGAATGTGGTGTTTGTGATTGTGTGTGTGTGTGTGTGTGTGTGGTATGTGTGTGTATGTGTGTGAATTTGGTGTATGTGTGTAGGTACACGAACCATGAATCTAGGCATGGGAGGAGGCCAGAGGAGTATACTGGGTGCCCTGCTCTATTACTTTGGCCTTATTCGTTTGAGACATGGTTTCCCACTAAAACTGGAGCTAGGCCTGCAGCCAAGAAACCCCAGCAATCCTCCAATTTCTGTCCCACCTTCTCAGTCCTGGAGTTATAGGTTCATGAATGCTGGGCATCCAAACTCAGATCCTCCTGCTTGAGCAACAAATGTTTTTACCTACGAACCCATCCCTAGGATTAAAAATGTTTAATTTGTTGCATTTTAATCTCTGGAATTTAGGAATTAGACATTGACTATTGATTGATGCAATGAATTTTCCTTTAATTCAAGTCACCTTTGGCGTGGGCAGGAGCAGAGTTTGATGGAGAGCTGTCTGCTGGGCCATGGCTTGAGCTGAAGCTGAGGCTAGGAGATGGCTGCTTCTAGGATCTGGTCAGGGCTGTACTGCTTATTCATTGTAGGTGACCTTGGGAAAGTTCCCTCATCTCCCTGTGGCCTCATCTCCTTGATTACAAAACTGGTGCAATGCCACTTTTCATTAGCTCCCAGGTATCATTAATTATGACATACATCCTTGTTTAATGCACATCCCAGAGAAAGCACATTTTGTCAGTTAGGTAGGATGCGAACCACACTTCATCTTTTATTTCAGAAGGGATTAAATGTTACAGAAGCCTAGCGGAGCATGGATTAAGTACTATAATGGCACTCTTTTTACAGGATTCTTATGGAAGCTGACAAATTCTAGGCATCTAGTACATTCCCTGTTAATTGAGTTTTCCCCAGCAGCCCTTCCTGATCATAGCATCCACATCCTTCAAGGGTCTGGGACCTCCTAGGGTCTGGTGTGGAGAAACAGAAGATTCTGACTTCGCTGAGTTCTTCTTTTGGATTTTCTTCCCCTAAGGCTCCCCGAGGAAAGGAGTCTAGGGGTTGGTCTTGATGGCAGGACCTGGCCCAGGAAAGGGATGTTCAGACAGTTACTCTGGACAACCATCAGAGAAAGACTGAGGGAAACCAAGGGCAGGTTTTCATATTAAAGACAAGAGGATCACAGGCCTGCTCTTTCTAAGGTCATTTAAAAATACTTTATTATTATTATTTTTATTTATATGTCTGAGTGTATTGCCTGCATTAAGTGCACCTGCGTCATGCAATGTCCGCAAAGGCCAGAAGAGGGTGTCTGGACCCCGGACCTGGAATTACTGATGGTTATTAGCTGCCACGTGGGTGATGGAAACCAAACCCAGGGCCTCTGCAAGAGCAGCCAGTGCTCTTAACCACTGAGCCATCTCTTCAGTTACATGGCCTCCTCTTTTACTTCTTTATGGCTTGTGGTGGTGGTGGTGGTGGTGGGGCACAGGATGACACATTTTTAGAGGGTTGTTGGGTGCCTGCATTTTGGGATGGAAAATACATATATCCTGTAATGCCAACTGTAGTTCTTAGAACTACTACTTGTGCCCAAACAAGCAAGAGTATACCTAAGGATTTATCTTTCAAGGTATCTCAGTACCATTTAGGATATTAAAATTGTAAAATAATCCAAATGTGAAACTGGATTGGAATTGACCACTTTCTGACATGAGCTATGGCTCACAACATCTACCAATTAGCAACAACTAGTCTGTTATTGGTTAATACCGGATTTGTAGGTGAGCTTGTTAAAGACTTCTGTTACCCCAAGCTAATGAGTTGCTCTTAATCAGGATCTCTCTACAAGATTGGTGAGTGTCCAGTCCCAGAAGGACCAGTTCCTCATCACCTTCAAGACCATGGACGAAATCTGGAAGTTCTCCACGTACCTGGATTTAGGTATAAGCTGTGTAGGTAGCTGAAGAGAACCTATTTCCTAATCTAGCCAGTTTGCCACACTTGATATTAAGGCATTGATTTGCCTAGTAGTTAAAAAAGATCCCCTGAAGTGGATGGTTAATTTTTGAAATATCACAAGCTCTCTGAACCTAAATCAAAATCAAATATTAACTATCAACTATCATTCTAAAATGTCCTGTGAAGAAACCATTTCCCTGTGTCCAGGGAGAGCTTCCTTTATTACAAAATCAATCAATCGGGAGACAGTTTGGTCAAATAATGCGATAGATGTGGATTTCATTTTCTTTCTTTTTTGTTATTACTATTTTTTTTTTTGAGACAGGGTCTCCCTGTAGTCCCAGCTAACTTGAAACCTGCTATGTAGATGAGGCTGGCCTTGATCTCACCGAGATCCTCCTGCCTCTGCCTCCCAGAGTGCTGGGATTAAAGGCATGTGCCACCATACCTGGCTGAGTTCATTTTGTTTTTCAGAAAGGGAACTATTCTTGAGTAAGAACAAGTAGCTGCTCAGATTATTAAAGTTCAGAGATGCTTTAGCCCAAGTATTTGGAACAGACTCAAAGAAAGAGATGGAAGAGTTTTCTGGTAAAGTGGTCCCAGGCTTTGGAGCTATCTAGAAGGTAAAGGATACTGGGACAGAGTGATAATACCATTGTAATGGGAAACGTTTAAACTGCTGTTCCAGGGGAAAAAACCTCCTGGTAGGAACTTATGGCTTCAAAGGCAAGTCATCTAATTAGACCGGCATTTGGTTGTATCACAGAAACACTGGGGTCCATGCTGTTGAACCCAGGGATCAATGCTGAGGGAGGTTGAGATGAGCCCTGGCTGGAGGTACAACTTCTCTTAGGGTCCTGGTGATTTTTCTGCTTCCTGTGCTTAAAGATAGTCAGTATTCAGACTCCATGGAGTAGTTTTTTGCTCCGTGGAGTGTACTGGCCCCATGTAGATCCTATTAGAGACCCAAAGTATGCACATAATTGTTGTATTTACTAATGGATACTGAGAAGAACAAATTAATTTTGGCAAGTTTCAGGTTAGCTCTCTCTTTCTCCATTGAAATGGTGAGTTGGGGAGTGGTTGCGTATGAAGCCCAGGATGGAAACTCATCACTCTTTTTTGTGGTAGGCTCAGGGCAGAACTCATCTTGTTGAGGATTTTTCTGGCTTGACCTTTAGGCTATGTGTCCACATGTCTGGAGCACCTCCTCTTTGACCACAAGTACTGGCTCAACTGCAGATTGGTGGATGACACAGAGATCCAAGTGTCTGTGGATGGCAGTCACCTGGAGGCCATGTACCTGGACCTCCTGCTGCAAGAAGGTGAGCTTGGTCTGGCAATGGGGGTTGGGTCCCCAACTATTTCTTATGTCCCTAAAATAATTAGGGTGCTGAGAGAGGCAAAAAAAAAGTAAAAAATGAGAATGTTCACAAATGAACCTATCAGAACGTTCACAAATGAACATCCTTCTCAATTCAGAACTGACACTACACAAACAGCTGTGATAGCTGGTTCCACAGACTCATGTTAGATCTGCTTGGGGTTTGAAAAAGATCCTTGTGCCAGGGCTCTGTGTAGGGTGATTATGTTTCTGGAGGTGGGGACCTTGATATTGGCATTTTGGAAACAAAACTTCCCATGAAATTCTCATGGTCTCCAGGATTGAGAAACACTTCCAGAAACATATGATACAATTTGATTGTAAAATAAAATCACAAATCTTGAAAAACCTAAACTATTTCATGAAATTGAATGAAATAATTCTGAGGAGCCTGTGGAAGCATTCCCTGATCATTTATTTTACAAGGGCTGGTGCCATCAGACCTGCATATGGTTAAGTCTGATGGCTTAATAGACACATTTGGAGCCAGACTGGCATATGATACTTTGCAGAAATGGTTCTCTTTATGATTGCATTGCACAGATCTTACAAAGGAAAAATTTCACGTTGTACTATTACAGAATTCATCTGGACTCATCATATTAATCGAAATTAATTTACTCCTTGTTGGTTATGAAATTAAACACAGCTTTGCAATTATAAGTGGGTCTATTAAATGCAAACATGTTTGCCTAGATTTCTGTTTCATCTCTTTTTCAAGGTAAAGTCCCACAATTAAGCCTTGTTCTTATAATTACTCAGAAATGTTAGTTATCTATTTGAATTCTCTGCCAATGGCTTTGTTTTTCTCCCTGGGATCACAGGTGCCTCTTGTGCCTTCTGGAAAGTCTACTTCACTCAGAGAAAGAAAATTGTTTGTGCTCTGCATAGAAATGCTGCTTTAGGCTGGGCGTAGTAGTGAACGCCTTTAATCAGGAGGCAGAGGCAGATGGCTCTCTGTGAGTTTGAGGCCAGCCTGGTCTACATAGTGAGTTCCAGGCCAGCTGGGGCTACAGTGAGACCCTGTTTCAAAAAGACCAAAAAAAAAGAAAAAGAAAAAAGAAAAAAAGAAATGCTGCTTTAGAAGGCATTGCCTCTCATTTCCCACTATCCTTGCAAAGGCTTTTCTTGTTATTTGCAGGTCACTTTTTCTGCAGAGCCATGTGCTCTGTGGCTCAGCCAACTGAGACGGAAGGGGAGTATTTGACTCTTTGTAAGAATGAGCTAATCTCTGTGATCTCTGAAGGCCAATCTGAGTGGGAAGGCATATCCTTAGTGACCGGTCAGAGGGGCCTGGTGCCTATGTCAGCCCTGGAGCCCCTGCCTGTCCCTTTCCATCAGTGAGTAGTCATCTACTTCCTGGGGGAGGGTCCCGGGGCAGATTGAAGTTTCACAGAATATGGTTGTATACTTTTAGATATGGGAATTCCCAGTGCCTGGAAGAGGACAAAAATCTGGGTGACTCTCAATCTTCTGTTAATTTTTTAACAGTCAAAGTTTGTAGTGTTTGATGAAACCGAAAATAACTCTAAATTTCAGGTTCACGTAGGGTGTTGGAGGAAACACATGACATATTAGTTATTTTTATTGGAAGAAGAGTTTATTTGGCTTATGGGTCCAGAGAGTGAGTCCATAATGGTGGGGGAAGCTTGATAGCAGGACACAACTGGTACAGAAAGCCAAGTGATCACATCTTTAAGCAGGCACAAGAAGCATAGTGAAACTGGAACTCAGCAAGGCTTAAGAACTCTCAAAGCCTACCCCCATCCACATGCTTCCTCCAGCTTGGCCTAAAGGTTCCACGACCTTCCTCAACAACACCACCAACTGGGGACCAGGTGTTCAAATACTTGGAGCCTATGGGGGGTATTCTCATTCAAACCATCACATGTGGCCTCCACTGCAGTGCTGCTCAGTGCATGGACTGGGGCCACTTGTGTCAGTGTCACATAGTGGTGTTACTAAAAATTCAGTCCCCTGACCCTCTTCTGACTCTCTCCAGGTTGGACCCAGAAACCTGCATTTTAAATTAGCCACCTAGGTATGTTCTTCACACTAAAGTTTGAGAATCTTTGTTGAAAGATACTTGGACATGTAGAGTGACATTATCTTAGGCTTTGTGAACTTTGCTTTGGTAAACTCTGACAGTGAGAATATGAAGGGTTATGTGTTATTTAGCTGGCAAAGTATCGCAGAGCTAGGAAACATCCCATTCTGCTGAACGTCATTTTTACAGTGTAAAGTAAGTTCTCAGTTTGCGATCATTAAAATGAGATAAACAATAATACCATCATCATCACTTTTCTACTGAACTGTTCAGATTATTGTCCTAATGTTTTGAAATCCCATGTTTCCATTGGCAGATGGTTCCTAAAGAATTATCCGGGAATCTGTGGTCTTCCTGGGAAGATGGATTGGACAGGCTCCTGTCAGATTGGTATGGCTGAGCAGAAAACAGTATTGTCAGGAAGGCAATGTTTTCCTGCCCCCTAATTTCACAGACCGGACTTGGAAGCCAGTGGCTCTCTGCCACATGGTCTCTTTGTCTGTGAAATGATCCAGGGCTATGGATACAGATGCCTTCTAGACAGGCGGAACACACAGATATGGGTAGGGCTGAGAGGGTGGCATTAGGAACTTCAGGGATGATGGGGATTTAAAGATACACAGGTAGAAACAAAAGAAAACAACTTCCCCCAAATGCCTGCCACAGGCCAGATGAAACATTTTTTTAACCAAATGTGACCCACAGACTACCTGTTTTTTTAACTTCTTACCCCATTTTTTTCTAATTTTCCCTGGAGTAATATGAAATGACCAGGTTTAGAAAGAATACCTGGCACACAGTGGGCGGCCAGTTGATACTGGCTGAATACACGAAATATGCACGTACATACATCTGAACACTTACGCTCATTTTGAGTGATCTCTGTCTGTCTGTACAGACACATTCTTGTGAAGGTGCATCCACTGGATAGTGAAGCATCTACAGCACAACTCCCTTTACCTTTATCCTCACAGCTCCCCCCACTAGCAGATTCCTACCACTCATCTAGCAAAAAGATAAATAAAAATTAAAAATTAAAAAATACTTTAATCAGTTCCAAACCCAAACACTTTAAAGGAATTATGGATTTAAAATACTAGAACTAATCAATAATTAGCCATAAATAAGATTTTTAGCATTCTGATGCAACATAGTGTTATAATTAGAAATGTGGGGCTTTGGCGTCTGTTACAGGTTCAAATTCCAGCCGCACACTTACCACCAGCTTGACCTGCCTTCACTCTGCTGCTGCCCTCTCATTAATGGAGTCGTATCATGAAGCCAAACGTTATCTCAAGAACTAGACAAATCGACATCTGTAAATCAGTCCCTTTCTTTCGTTGTAGAGTCTAACACATGCTAGGTGCTGTCAACCCTCAAAGCAATGGAAATTTCTGATCTAATAGGGGCTTTTTAATAGGGAAATTTCTGATGTAATAGGGGCTGATAGATGGCTCAGCAGTTGAGAACCCTGGCAGCTCTTGCAGACTGCCCACATTCAGTTCCCAGCACCCACATAGCAGTCAACAGCGATTGTAACTCCACTTCCAGGGGATCCAATGTCTTCTGACCTGAGGGCATTGCACGCATGTGGTGCACTGACATACATGCAGGCAAAACACTCATATGCATAAAATACAAATGAATAACTTAATTATTTTAAAGAGACATAACAGAAACCTGACTAAAGGGCCAGATATATGTTGAGCCAGTCACGTTAAGCAGAAGAGCAAACACAAGGCACATAGCAGTCATTACGCCCAGCAGAGCACGGTTGCTGGGAAGAGCAGCAAGCAGTATGGGAAGACCTGATCCAGTCCTAGTTCTATTGCCTGTAAGCTCCTTGGACACATCACTCAGCCCTGCTTCCATTTTCTCATCCATGAGTGGGGATTCTGATGGTTGCCCTGCCTGCCCATCAGGGCTCTTAGAAAGATCTGAGAATGGATTAAATGTGCTTTGTAAACTAGACAGTTTTAAGGTACATTCAGTATTCTGAGGGTACCTTTCTGGTGCTTGTTAAAATAATAATGAAAGAGGATTGTAGGTCGTCCTCTTTTGGAATGTTCCAGTTTGGCAAAATGAAAAGCCAACTACCCTTGGCCATTCCGGCCAATTTATTTTTGGTGTGTGTGGGATCTGACTGGTTACTGAAACTCCTAAACTTGGGCTACCCTTGTCTATATCACACTGGTAGATAAGGGAGAGTTCACCTGCTTGTGCCTCTCCAGGTGACCTGTGTGCTATTTCCTACAGGCAGAGGAAGATGCAAGGCCACGAAGGATTATGAGCAGGAAGAAAAGGATGAATTGAGTTTCCTTCAGGGAGAAAGCATCGAGATCATTGGCTTTGTCATACCTGGGCTTCAGTGGTTCATCGGGAAGTCAGTGAGCTCAGGAGAAGTGGGCTTTGTCCCTGCCGGAAGCATAGATCCCGATTCATTGTCTCCGATGTGAGTATGTCAGGGAGTCTGCTCCGGAGCCCAGCTGCCTTCCCCGGTACTCCCCCCAGTGAGCAATTCTGTAGAGAATTTTGGGGTACCCTGGTAACACCCCATTTAGACAGTCATGGCAGACACAGAGAGTGCTAGGAAGGAGGAGTGATCAGGGAATGAGTCAGCTCAGTTCATGTCAACAGATGCTCTTTGAAGCCTTGCTTTGTGTAAGCAGAAAAGCTGAGTCCCAGTGCAGAAAGATTTGCTAGGCACCAGGGTGGAGCTGGACTCGATCCTTCCACTCACTGTCTCCTGTCAAGAGACCGCCATCAAGGAATGAGCACGCACAAAAAGCAACAGATTGCCGGCTCGGTCAATGATATTTCCTCCCCGTAGGTCTGGGAGGAAGGTCTTTTGGAGGTGTTCGCATGCTTAGTGTTGAAGCTAAAATTTAAATGTATGAAATCAGTGTTGGTTAGGAGAGATGAGGGCATTTTTTTTCTATGCCTTCTGCAAATCTGGAGGGCTGGGTCTGAGAAGCAGACCACTCATCTGACTAATAAGCAGTAGGTGGGCAGCCCACCCAACCACCTGTCATTGGAAGGGCAGAGGTTGGCAGCATTGCCCAGTCTATTTGGGGTGGGCTTTCTAAAGGTAATAGGAAAGCAGAAAGTTGGGCCCAGGAAGTACAAGTGGAAACAGAACTGTTTCATTGTGGCTGCATTTCCCACAGCAGGGAATATCCAAGGCTATACAAGGAAGCCTAAGGCTCTCAGTATTCAGACCAGGATTCCCTCTCTCATGGGAAAGAACCAACAAGGAAAGTGGACTGAGGGCAGAAACTCCCTGTATGCTCTGCTCTTCCTGGAGAAATGTGGACCCCAAATCATTGCACAAGGAAGACACTCCCTGAGCTCTGGGGGAGAGGTGGAGGGCAGTAGGGATTTAAAAGGAGGACAAGGCTGTCAAGAAAACTCTCACAAGAATGTGATGCCTAAGGTAAGCTTTGCATCATGGGATAGTGAGCAGTCCCCCTTGGGGATGGGTCACCAGTAGAACACTGGTGTAGCCAAGACTCAGCATGGTTTTCCCTGATGTAGAAGGTGGGGAGACCTCAAAGGGCCTGTCTTTCACCTTGCCGAGGATGATGATCCCCTGAATGCCTTTGCATAAGGCTGAGAGGTGATGACTGGGACCCTGCTCTAGAACTTAGCTTGGCCTTGTGTGGAGTGTGTATTAGCAGGGTGACCTGGAAACAGGATTCCAGTGACAAAGTTGAGGCTAGGACCAGGGAGGAGGGGTAAGGAGGTAAAGGAGAGGCTGCTGTTGAGGAGCAACCAACAGGTAGTTGAAGACTCTGAGAGCTTTGCAACTATGGATACCTGCATCTTGCCCCAGAGGCTCTCATTCTGGGAGGAGCTTGGGCCATGATAGTTATAGGTGGGGCAGCCAGGTGAAAATCATTGTTCTAAATGACCACTCTATTTTGCTGCTGTGGGAATTGGGGACCCCCAGGAGTAAAGAGTTAAGGGCCTTAATCCAAGGCCTTGCATCCAGAAAAAGAGAATCCTGGTATCCAGTGTGTGAGTTCTATGACAGGTTCTGGTGATTTTTGTCCTTTGGCCATTGGGAAGTCATTTGAAGGCAGAGGAGCTTAATGGTTTTCAGAATTCAGGGTCAGATTGCTTAAAAGGTATCTATGGGGCCATTAGAGTGGATCCTGTGTCTCCATTATCTTATCAGATCTGTGACTTCACACACAGTGAGTTCTCTTGGTGTCCCTCATTTTTCTCATCTGTAAAATGTATATGATGCTAGTACTTATGTAATGGAATTGTCATCAATTTAAATAAGATAATGCATGCATTCAAAGCAGTTGCAATGGCACCTGGTGCTGTATGATTACTATATTCTTGTCACTGTCTGCATGGTAATCTTTGAGAGTCAGTTTTAACAAGATTTTAGAGGTAGAGATTGGAGTTTACAAACTATTTTTGGACTTCTGCACCTCAAACATTGCCCAAATGATAATTCAGCCTCACTAATTGATTTAGTTCTTAACTATACAAACTATCCTCTCATACTGAACAACAGCATTCCCAATATCAAAGGCAGCACCAGGAGGGGGAAACTGAGTCCTTGTACCCTTAGAAGGCCTCTACAGACTGTCCCTGAAACCATAGCAAGTCAGGGTAACCTTGAGCTTGGAGAAATGACCGCCAATCAACCTGATCTCAAGCAGAGAGCCAGGCTCCTGTACGTCATCCTGTGCAATGTGCCATAGATGCCACTGGGTGTCACTCTTAGGCTGTATTCATTTGTATTCATAGTGTTTGTGAGAAAGACGACAGCATTTGCTGCGTGTCTCTTCCTACACGATCTTTCCTTGTGCTGGTATAGTCTTCATGAAGGGTATAAGAGTGAACGCATGTGAGTTTGTATGTGTGTGAATGTGTATTCATGCGTGCACATGCTTGTATGCATACGCAACTGGCTACTAATTGAATGTGACATTTCTTTAGGACTGTTTTCTGAATCAGATCTACCAGTGCCTTAGACATATAGCCAAAGCCTTCTGCTTGTCCAAGGAATCGAATAAGTAATTTCCTTTTTTACAGCATTTTGACACCAGCCACATAGTTTCAAAGCAATGGCAGGTGAAAAGCCAACTTGTAAAACTTGCGACATTCTGACTTTTTTCAGTGAACATTGTAAACTGAGATTTATTCACATTGTGATATGTTCATTTTAACAAAGTATTACTAAAAGGAAATACACCTAGATGTCTAAACTAAAAATAAGGAAGACTGATAAATCACTGTGCTCAAAACCAACAAGGAGAGCATTGGAGAAAACTCAGAATTCCACAGTATTAAAAATTCTCTCTTTTGGGACTGGAGAGATGGCTCAGCAATTAAGAGCACTGGCTACTCTTGCAGAGGACCCCGGTTCAATTCCCAGCACCCACAAGGCAGCTAACAACTGTCCATAACTCCAGTTCCAGGGGATCCAACGCCCTTTTCTGGCCTCCGTGGACATTGCATGATGTGGGTGTACTTACACACGTGCAGTCAATACACTCATACACATAAAAAACAACACTTTTTTTGTCATTCCATCTCTTTTATTCATTGTTTTTCTATATCTTATTTATAATTCCATTTCTTGTGACATCTAGTTTTTCTGATGAATGTGCCATTTCTCTGTATGTGGGCAGCCTTTCCCTCCTTTAACTTTAATATTTTACAATTTTATCAAGACCTGAGTAGATGTATCTATTATGTATTTGATAGTGAATTAACTACCACTGTCTCAGAAACGTTCAACTTTAAGCAACTGGAGTTCTGTAACTTGTGAGCACCCCTGCCCAGTATTCTTTCCTTGTTTGTATTAAATATGTTCTTGAATGATAACTTATCTAGGCATAGAATAGCGTCTTCGAAGTTTGGAGGGAACTACAATATAAAACGCAAGTTCATTTTGCTGGGGTTTTGTCTGTTTTATTAGTGTCTCCAGAGAACCAAGTTTTCTTTTGCTGACCTCCTTTCTCTTCTGTGTTATTTGGTTTGAATATGTTCTTCTTTCTTTGCCCTTACTCCGTTAGCGTGTGTTCTTGTCATCGGTGCTTCTTCTATGCCATTAAACCAAAGACTTACATTTCGAATAATTCAACCAAGAAATATGAATAAATAAACAAAAAATAATTGGGAAAACCTACAGAGAAACGGACACCTTGTTAAAGATGATATTACTTTTATTTATTTTGCTCGGGACTTGGTGTGCTTCTTCAGTTTGAAGACTCGTGTCTTTCTTCAGTTCTGGAAAATTCTCAGTCATTCTCCCTTTGAATAATGTCCCTCTCTCAGTCTTTTAGTGTCTCTCCTGGAATTCCTGGTGGAGGTATGTTGGATTTACTCTGTCCTCAGTCCAGCTTAATTGGCTCTTTTCTCCTGATCACCTTTGTGCATGGTGGCTGCACCCTGGGGGTTCATCAGTTTCACTAATTCTCTCCTCTGCTCTGACTGTACTGGTTTGTTTAACTCATCCTCACCATCCCTAAGGTCTGTGCCTTCATCTTTCATTTATAGAATCAAGCTTTCTTATTTCTCACATGATTGTTTACCCTGAAAATCATCCATCTTTTCATTGTAGCTTCTTTTCTTTCTATTTGTTTTAACCAGGCTTGTTCTGAGTTACTCCAGATTATTGTTATTGTTAGTTTTGCAGTATTAGTTTATTTGTTCAGGAATCTACTGGTTTTCTTTCTTAATTTGCATTTCTTGGTTTGTGTTTTTGTTATATGAACTATTTCTCAACATTTTAGAAGATGGACTTTGCATGAATCTTGGGGTAAGGGAACTTTCCTGCCGAGGGTAGTTTTTGCATTTGCTTCTAAAGTCTCAGGAACTCTTCATTCAATACCAGTTCTGACCAGTTCTGCAATGCTGCATTCTCTGTGGTTCCTACTCTGCACTTTGTGAATGAAGACCCCATACCTTCCAGTGGCTAGGCGTGAGTGCTCAACTGTTTCCTGGACTCATACAGATGAAAAGTGTGGTCGCAAGTTTTGAAATTCTCTCTGAGGAAGTTTCTGCTTTTCTAGACTTCAGGCTTTATGCAGGGAGCTTACACACAGCTCTCTCCTACAATAAGGCCAAGTCTTCTGTCCCTGGAGGTTATTTAAAGGGGAGCCCCAGTTCTGCAGGCCAGTGTTCTAGACGAACTACTGGAGCCTCTGTGGCATCTGCTCTCACCTACCAGCCTGGATTGAGTTTTTCCTTTGTTTCCTGCATCCCAAAGACTTCCCTTTCTTTTTATAAAGTTTTAGGGGCTTGTTAAGATACTTTTTTTTGTTATGGGTCATATGGAAGACTTATATGTGTGCAGGGAGAGTAGCCCTGGGAGCACATGACATTACCTGCCATGTTATCCATTGTTTTGCCATGTTCACTGGCCCTGTTATCATGTTTAGCAATCCATAATGTAGGTTGTTACATTTCTTGAACACTAAATACCTGGAAGTCAGGGTGTTGGCAGATCAGCTCTGAGGCAATGAACAGGGACATGGAGTGACAAGACCCCACTTGAGAGCCGAGACTTGCACTTTCTAGCTATATAATTCTGCACATGCTACTGAACCTTTCTGAGTATATTCATCAACAATTATGGATAAAAATCTCCTACAAGGTGGAGTTGTTGTGAATAGTAAATGAATTGGTAAGTTCAAGATACTTTGTAAAATTTGTTTCTAAAAATATTTGAGATAACATATATATATATATATGTACTTAAAACTCTATTTTTAAAAATTTATTTGTATGTGTGTGAACTTGCATGAGTATATGTGTGCCAGGTGCATGTAGGTGCCCATGGAGGTCAGAAGAGGGCATCAGATCCCCTGGAACTGGAGGTATAAGTGGTTGTGAGCTGCTCAAAGTGGGTGCTGGGAACTGAACTCAGGACCTCTGCAAGAGCAGTATGTGCTCTTAACTGATGAGCTATCTCTCCAGGCCCCTCTTGATATATTCTTATTCCAACTTAATTTACTTATAGATTTCAATTGTATGCCAGTTTGAGGCTGAAAATTTCAGGGTACAGGAAGAATCTAGAGACTAGGCTGAGTGATGGGTTCACCACATGTGGGGGGAAAAAATCTCTGAAGCAGATGTCAGGACGTGACTGTAGTGCCAGTTCTGCTGCTAACAAGTGGAGTGACCTTGAATAGTTCCTAGAATGGCTGGCTCATCATTGGCTTTCCAAATGCTCTTGGTAGAGCTGGAGGGCAAACAGCAAGGCGCTGAGCACAGTCATCATTGCAGCACCCCTGGTCCCTGCCCTAATTAGAGAAGCTCTCCTATTATCCACATACCAACTCTTATTTGTGTCTGTTTCTTCATCTGTAAGAAAAGAATAGTTGTAGTACCTGCTTCAAAGAGCAACTGTGGAGATTAAATAATAGTGTGACAACACCTCTAACATACAAGCTGCTACTGATTCTTGGGTTTCCAAGAATTTTGTTTGAAAAATGGGTAGGGAAGCTTAAAAATTGTTTGTACTGAAAATGATCTTTTCGCTGTTATTATTTTTTGAGATAGGACTATGATATTAGCAGATATTGGGGTTCAGTGGGCAGTGTCTGGGATTTTTAGGTTCCTGTGTCCTAGAACTAGGAATTGGACGGTCACATGGAGAAGACAGTAGCAGAAGGAAGGGCAGTTTAATACTGGAGAAAGGCATGCTTTGAGGGGAGGAAATGGGCCAGAGGAAATTTCAGAAGCTCGAAGCGACATGGCCATGAAAGGATGGGTGTTTATACCCCAGTATTGCAGGTTTGGGGGTTGTTTGCCCAGGGCAAGTTTTCTGGTGCATGCTCTATGTACCTGTAGTTTATAATGAAACATAGGTCACCTTCAGATACTCTCGAGTGCTTCTGCACCTGCAGCAGTGGCTCTAGCCAGTTCTATCTGGCTTTGGCTAGAGGTGTGGGGTGAGGGCCCAGACTTCCTCATTGCCTGGGTTTTTCTCCTATGCAGCCAGGGCACAAGGCCTTTCTCTCTGCCCTGCTCTTCTGCTGTGGACTAACCTTGCAGCCCAGGCCTTCTGGCTTAGAACTCACTGTGTGATTCAGCCCCCACCTTGAACTCACTGCAGTCCTCCTGCCTCAGCATCCCATGGAGCTACCACACCTGATTGGAACATGATCCTGTAGCATGGTCAGCTAGATTCTGGCAGACCCCTTGCCAGATCTGTTAGTTTGATGACAAACCTCTAGCAAGCAAATTAGTCCTCACAATTAGGTTATAAGCGGGCTGAGCTTAAAGAGCTCTTTTGTTTATAATTATTTCTTCTAGTCCTCTGGTTCTCCACCTACTTACATTCTGTCCCTGAGTGATGTCCTTTCTTTCTTAGGGTCATAGAGTGTTGCTCTGTGTCAAATTGAATCAACTGTGAAAGATTCCTTCTGCTCATGGGGGAAATTTGTTTGTTCCTCCGGATTGTGCCATTTGTCCTTAGCTTTTCCTTGAAATAAGCTGAGGACAGAAGAAGTTCTTTTAGGGCTCTCTTTCCAACCCCTAGGTTTGAGGCAACCAATTCCTATTTCTCACAAATGGATTTCATGCCAGAGTGTGGTGGCACATGCCTTAATCCCAGTACTTGGGAGGCAGAGGACCTCTGTGAGATCGAGGCCAGCCTTGTCTACATAGCCTGTTCTGGTCTGGCTGGGGCTACTGGGACACCCTGTTACAAAAAGGAAAAAAAGGATCTCACGTGGCCTCAGAGAGTGGGTGGGGGTTGGGGGAGTGGGCTTGCTCTCCTGGGAGATGGAATTTGAATTGGAAGATGTTTCCAATTAAACATCCACTTTGACCTACTTGCCACCACAGAGCTCAGTTTTCCATTCTTCTCTGGCAGTAAAAGTACAGATTGCAGGCCGGGCGTGGTGGTGCTCGCCTTTAATCCCAGCACTCGGGAGGCAGAGGCAGGCGGATCTCTGTGAGTTCAAGGCCAGCCTGGTCTACATAGTGAGTTCCAGGACAGCTGGGGCTATAGGGAGACCCTGCCTCAAAAAGACCAAAAAAAAAAAAAAAAAAAAAAAAAAAAAAAAAGTACAGATTGCACCAGTGAGGAATCTGATATCAACAATGGACAAGTGGGTTGGTGGCTTCTCTAAGGCCTTCACTACCTCCTCTTATGGAGAGAAGAAGATGTGGTGTTTGAAGCCCTGCACTCACCTGTGCCTGTTTTTTACCCCACATAGGAGCAAGAACTCTGCGTTTTTCAGTGAGGAAGAAAGATGCTCTCTGTGGGCCCCGGGAAGCGACAAGAAGGCTGAGTGCGCTAGCTTCCTCAGCATGCTGGCTCACACTGACATCGCTTCTGTCTACCGGCTTAGTGAGTATTTGGTCTTCATTCTCTGGTGAAAGGCCCTTACCGCCACAGGTCCATTGTCTTCCTTCTCTGCACCCAGTGCTTCTTCTTGGTTTTTATCTAGTTTTTTTCCACTTTTGTGATGTTAGGCAACTGCAGGATAAGTTACTTCAGCCTTTGTAACTCCTCTCTCTGCTTTGGTTTCTTTTTGCCAGGACCTGTTGATGTACTTATTAACAAATGCCCCCCTCCCTCCCCCCTCCCCCTC